AAATATTAAATATGTAAAATATAATTTTTTTAATAAATAAAAATTTTAAAAATTTAAAATAATATATACAATTAATGAATGTCTAATTCTAACAAACACATATTGCTACACTTATGGCAATTGACTTGTTAAATTAGGTTTAGGGAAGATTAGAAAAAGGAATTGAGTTGAGTAATTTAGATTTGCTTGGCCAAATCAAATTTTCAAGAAAAAATTTCCGCTATCTCTACTTTGTAAAAATTTTCTTTAAATTTTTACTCATACGATGAAATTCTTACAAAACTTCTCGAGTTTAGAAACAAAATTGGCACTCTTAAGTGGTGACTTCTCTAGAGTGACGATTCGTGATGGCCCTGACACAAGTGAAGCCCTTAGAATGTACTCTCCTTCTTATCTGGATCAGCACCTCTGACATGTCATATGATGTGGCAATTTCATTGGGACACGTCACGAAATGGTTCGATCATCCCAACCATTGGAATCGAAAAAATCTGACAGGTGGGATGCATCCATATCCAATCCTATTGTTGGGTTCTATTGCATTTGAGCCAAATTATTCCAAACCCAAATATATTCGGCTGCATTTGGGCAAATGGATGCGTTTAGTTACATATTATGGACACGCTTTATTGACCTCAATTACTTATGACTGATCAACGGTGATGGCAGCACGATACCAACTTTGGTCAAACAACTGGGAAAATCCATTGCCGTTGATCAGATATACTTACCAAATTAGTCTAATACGAGGTCAATGATGCTGATAATGCTAATAAAAGTAAGATCAACAAGAATTTGATTAAGTTAGTACTTATTAATATAAAATTTTTAATTTTAAATTAAAATTAAAGATTTAAACTTTTGTTATATTAAGGAGTTAACCATCAATGTGCTAAAAAAATAAAAGCAAGAAAAAATGGTGTGTGCAGGTTAGTGAAGTTGGAAGAAGTCAAGAAAACAGGCACGAGAGGACATCATGCCCTTATATTTACACGATATTTATGGAACTAATTTTGTTCATTGCTCTTTCATATTTTTCTTGTTTTCCAATGCCATTCTTCTCGTTCAACTGGATATAAAAACTTAATATATAATAACTGAACTCAGATGTTGAAAATGAAATTGTAATTAGTAGTACAAAATAAAATTTTATAGACTTGATATTATATTGGACTATAAAATACAAACCATTATATTAAGAGAGACTTTCTAATAATAAAGGAGAGACCTTTCATTCGATGATTGGTGTTTTGCAGTCCGCAAACACCAAATTCTTCACATTAATATCATAAATAGATGTAGAAATGTTTGAAGAAAATTTAATTAAGTGATTTTTTATAGGCCAAAGCCCCTATTTGCACCCTCCATTTATTTCTTTTTCACGGTCAACACCTTCCGGAATTTTTCCTCCCTATTCACACCTTTCACCTTTTAAAACCCGTAAAAAACCCAACATTTTAACGGACCGTCACGGCACCGTTAAAAAATACACTACGTGGCATCCAAAAAATGACGTGGCACATGCGGCATTTCCTTATTCGTTAAATTCAGACGTGGATTTGCTTTTTGATGATTTGGCTTCTTTTCTGCACATGTGGACGCCACATGTGCAGTGGGGCCCACTACACAGGACTTTCTGCGTCCCCCCACCAAAAAAAATTGAACAGGAGCAGTGGGGCCCACTGCACAGGACTTCTGCGTCCTTCCCCCCCAACCAAAAAAAAAAAAAAATTTTGAACAGAAGCTCTGGGTTCCTCGCCGGACCCAGAGCTGGGTTCTGTGAGGAACCCAGATCGGGTTCCTCGGTTCCATGAGGAACCCGACTCTGGGTTCCTTGCGACGAGGAACCCAGATCGAGTTCCTCCCTCTGGGTTCGTGAACCCAGAGCAAAATTTTTTATTTATTTTATTTTTTTATTTAAGTAAACCACGTCATCAAAAAAGACATCCACGTTGAATTACTAACGGCATTTATTGGCCACGTCAATTTTTGAGTGCCACGTAGTACATTTTGTAACGGTACCGTGACGTCGTGTTAAAATGTTGAGTTTTTTACGGGTTTTGAAAAGTTAAAGGTGTGAATAAGGAGGAAAAATTCCGGAAGGTGTTGACCGTGAAAAAGAAATAAATGAAGGGTGCAAATAGGGGTTTTGGCCTTTTTTATAACATAAATATCCAAATCTTTTGATTAAGAGTTTTGCAATCTATTACTTATATTCCATCTAGTACGTGCTTTTGGTGGTATAGAATCACAATTTATATTGATATGAAATTAATATTGGGTCAAAATTTCTCTTTTACAAATAACATGACAAACTAGATAAGTGATATGTATTGAAATTTGTCATCTGTTTCAAAGACAATGTTTTAAGGATATAAAAAAATTAAATATAAGAAGTTCTATTATTTGATGTAACTTTCATACATTTTCAAGCACTTTATCATGCCTTAAAACAAATTTTGCAGCAGGAAGTACTTATATCCTGCA